ATGTTGTTAATGCAGAAGGAGACGCATTACCATGGGACACACGTTTGAAAATAGCGATTGAAGCAGCTCAAGGACTTACTTTTTTGCATAACTCGGAAAAGAGTGTTATTTACAGAGACTTCAAAGCTTCCAATATTCTTCTTGATTCCGTACAGCGTCGTTTTACATCTCTCCCACGTTTTAAACAAAACTGCATGCTGTTTCCTTTTTTAGTAACAGTTGTTGCGTTTTTTTTTTTCAGAACTTCAACGCCAAACTTTCCGACTTCGGACTGGCCAAACATGGGCCAATCAATGGATTCTCACACGTGACCACACGTGTCATGGGTACACATGGTTATGCAGCTCCTGAGTACATGGCTACAGGTAATTAGAAAACGTGCAAATTATATTAAAAACATGTTTAACTGATGTTATGTATGAATCATTTATCAGTAATTTCATTTGATTTTTGGATTAAGTTTTTATATTTTTGTTGTTATAGGTCATTTATATGTGAGGAGTGATGTTTACGGGTTTGGAGTGGTACTGTTAGAGCTCTTAACCGGTTTAAGAGCAGTAGACCCAAACCGACCATCTGCGCAACAGAATCTAGTGGAATGGGCTAAACCGATTCTACAAAAGAAGAAAATACAGAAAATGATGGACCCAAGGCTCGAGCAGAAGTATCCACCTTTGGCAGTGGTTAGAACCGCTGACCTCATTCTACGGTGTCTCGAGGCTGACCCGAAAAACCGACCACCAATGGATGAAGTACTAAGAGAATTAGAGATTGTAAGGACTATTAGAGACGAACCAAAAGAAGAGAGGCGTAAACGAGGCAGTGGGTCTGATAAAAATAACCGGGTTAATGGTTACGGTTCACCTCACGGTCGTAGAACCGGTCGAGCCGGTTAGTCTCAAAGAGTCATTTTGGATCACTCATATATGTTACATACTTTATACAAACGAACACCTTAAAAAAGAAATGTCATTTTTTCTTCTTCTTCTATGGTAGTGTTTGTTATTAATTTCTAGACTTAGCGAAATATTTGCTGTATACTATGTTATTATATATTTATGGTAAGTAAAAATTTTAGTCACTTCTTGACTCAATTTTTCCCCCTTATTATGATTTCAAACACACAAAAATATGTTTATAATAATCTGAGTTTATGAAACAAATGTAATGAAAAATGTGTATATACATTTGCAAACCAACAACACGTAACAAAAGTAGTACTAAAGAAGATGTAACTTCAATTATTCTTTAGGCTCTTTACATGTTCTCTCTCTCTCTCTGGTGCATTTTTATAACAAAAGCCAAATTAAGAAGCACCTAAAATAATCTTGAAAATAGTAAAGAAAAAACCTATGAACAAATGCTTACACAACACAAAACTATG